GGTTCTTAGTTTTTATATATCGCCCATCTTATTGAGAAAATATAATTAAGAAAAAATTTTGAAAGATTTTTGGTTTGGGTTGCGTTCTGGGGGAGTATATATAAGAACTTTTAGCAGCGATTTTGCATCGAAATTTTGAATCGAAGTAGCATCGAATTAGTATCAAACACATTTGCGTCGACTTTCCTTCGAATTAGCGTCGAATTTGCGTCGGTTTTATGCGACGCTACAAAAGTAGGTGAATCCATTAAAAAAGTGCAACCTACCTACCACCTTCGACGCAATATTCGACACTATACCCGACGCTATTTTACCTACGCTAAAATAGCGGCGATTTAGCGTCAAATTTAGATTTTGGATGCTAAATCGACGTTAAATCGACGCTAAACTGCATCGATTTAGCCTCAGTTTTATGCGTTGCTACAAAAGTAGGTGAATCCATTAAAAACGTGCAACCTACCTACCACCTTCGACGCAATATTTGACGCTATATCGGACGCTATTTTACCGACGCTAAATAACGGCGATTTAGCGTCGAATTTAGATTGTGGATGCTAAATCGACGTTAAATCGACGCTAAATTGCATCGATTTAGCGTCGGTTTTATGCGACGCTACAAAAGTAGGTGAACCCATTAAAAACGTGCAACTTAACTACCAYCTTCGACGCAATATTCGACGCTATATCCGACGCTATTTTACCGACGCTTAAATAGCGGCGATTTAGCGTCGAATTTAGATTCTAGATGATAAATCGACGTTAAATCAACGCTAAATTGCATCGATTTAGCGTCGGTTTTATGCGACGCTACAAAAGTAGGTGAACCCATTAAAAACGTGCAACCTATCTTCCACCTTCGACGCAATATTCGACGCTATATCCGATGCTAATTTACCGACGCTAAAATTGCATCGATTATTTTCGTACCAATTTTACATCGCATTTGCGTCGAATATTTGGATCGATACAAAACCGATGCAAAGTCGATGCAAAGTCGACACAAAACCGACGCAAAAATTTGATGCTAAAAGTGTGTTTTCTTGTAGTGGTTGTCGAATAGAAATAAAAACGTGCCGTAATTCAATTGCAACTACATTTCCTTTGGTAATACTAAATATTGAGATTAGGTGTTGAATGTATGAATGATGATGATATTGTTACGTTGACCGCATTGAAACGATAATGCAACTTTAATACAACTTTACATGCAAGTGCAACACTTACATCAAGTCAATACAAAATAATGGTCTTTCCAAAATT